GCAGACCCGAGTGTCTACACACCTAAGAAGGTTCGAGAGCTGATTCTTGCGGCGACGGCTCGGCAGAAAGAGTTTCGAGCTAAGCGCAGTGAGAAGAAGGGTAGCCCGCGAGGAAGACATGGCAAAGGCAGTGAGAGCAGAAAAGGCTTTCACGAGGACAAGACTGGTGACCCCAAGAGAGTTAGAAGATGCTTTACTTGTGGCAGTGAAGATCACCTACGTGTCGATTGTCCTGAGAAGTCGAAGGGGAAAGAGAAAGCTGACGACGCAGAGAAGAAGCGTAAGCCGCGCAGTTGTTGTACCCTACGACAAGAAACCACTGGACCAGTGCAGATGAACCGCGAGCGGGATGAGGGTGTTGTGGCAGGAGTCACAAGTTCTCGTGAAATATACGGGATTCCTCGGGAGCTCGATGAAGCACATGGAGTGGATGACGTACACACTGATGATGTACGTGGCATTGGAATCGTGAGCGACGATGAAGCAGCAGGTGATGGAAACCCGGTGAACGATCATGAGTCAGATAGTGATGAATCACATCTGGAGGACAGTGATCAAGTAACACAAGGTCTCAATGGCGGGTGGTGGTATCTGGATACGGCCTCCAACTCGCACGTCACGGGGAATTTCGCTGAGTTCATGTCGTACACGGCAGACTCGGAGCAGCTACAGCAGATCCGAGGAGTTACGCCTACGATTGCTTCCCGTGTTGCTGGAATGGGAACAGTGGCGTTTACGACAGACGTTAATGGAGAACAAGTAGTGAGCTATCTCGACGGAGTGTTGTACATTCCGGATGCCGAGTATGGTTTGTTTTCTCCTGGATTAGCCTACGAGCAGGGTTATACTCTGGAATATGACAGAGAATCGAGGAATTTTCACGTCATGAGAGATGGAAGGACTGTGGCTGTAGCAACGCAGCAGGAGGCCACTTGGGAGTTCTAAGTAGCGAGTCCGACCCAGAGAGCTCGAGTGCTACCAGAAGCAGCAGCAAGATGTAATGACACTATGGCAGAAGGTGTTGGTTCGCTGCAGCTTTGGCATGAGAGACTGTGTCATATCTGTCCACAGTATTTGAAGACTATGGTCGACATGGAGCTGGTGGAGGGAATGATGGTGACACAGAGACAGCAAGATACGTGTGATGCCTGTCATCTTGGAAAATAAAAGATGAAATCACACAGGAAGATGCTGGACCGTGGACTGAAGAGACCCAACCAAGTAGTGTATGCGGATCTTCTGATTCCAGGGAAGAATAATGCGACTCAATATGAGGCCGTGTTGGTGATCATGGATGGTTATTCGCGGTTTGTCACTGCGCACCTGCTGAGGAACAAGGACAGCAAGGTGGTGAACAAGTACATGCAAGAGTATGTGTTGTGGGCGGAACGGCAGGCAGGCCGAAATGCCAACGGGAAAACATACAGAGTGCAGCAGATTTGGAGTGACAAGGGCGGTGAATTCTTCAATGAAGGCATTGATGCATGGTATCGTTCAAGAGGAATTGAACATGTGAAAGTCGGGCCGAAGAACTCGCAGCTCAATTTGTGTGAACGAACGCACCAATCGTTGGAGGACATGACTAGGTCTACGATGGCACACTCGGGGCTACCGAGGAGCCTGTGGCCTGAGGCACTGAGAAATGCAGTGTATGTCAAGAATAGTGTGTACAACAAGGGGACTAATGGCATTCCGTACGAGATGCTGTTCGGAGTCAAGCCGAATGTACACCACATCCGGAAGTTTGGAGCGCTGGCGTACGTGCACGTACCAGTGACTCCTGGACGCAAGAAACTGAGTGTTCATGCAAAGATTGGGTTTGTATTGGGGTATGCTGAGAATGTAGTTGGCTGCAAAGTGTACTTTCCTGATGAGCACACAGCCAAGTTTGTGTCAGATCTGCGTGTTGCAGAAGATGTTATGTATCGGGACCGATACACAACGGAAGTGGAAGACGACGATCTCTCTTCACTTCACTTTACTCATCGAGAAGATGAGGACCAGACCGTTTTGAGCGAGCTGAGTGATGTACCATCTTTTGAGCTCGAGGAAGGCGAGAGTGTGGATGCTTGCGTGGATGCTGTGCAGACACAGGAAGGCGAGCGTACTGACGTACATACGCAGGTTGGACGAGAAATGCACCAAGTGTATGATCAACCTGTCCACCATGCCGATAGCGAAGCGGATGGAGATGTTCATTTGAATGGTGATGTTCAACTCGAAGTTACTGAGGACGGTACTGAGACTGTTCAAGTAGGCAGTGACGCCGTTGAGAACGATGAACATGGTGATGTTGTTACTGAAAGTGTACAACATGAAGGCAGTCAACCGAGTATGGCTAGCAAAGGTGTTAGTGTCGACACTGGTCAAGCAGCTGAGGGCGAGAATGTCCATGAAGCGGCTGAGGGTGTTGACATAGCAGATGCGGACGCTATATCGGTGGCTGGAACCTGTGGATCGGAATTAGTTGACCATAAGCTGGATGACTCCGAAGAGCAAGATGGTAATGAAGAGACCACAGTAGCGAGTGTCTTTGCTGAGGACCAGAGTAGCAATGATGCGGAGCTAGAGAGTGACACTGGTGAGGACACACTACCTGAAGCTGAGCCAGACAGAGATGCGGTGGGGATAAGTCCTGAGGTAACAGTGACTGGCAAGCGTATGCATCGAGATGAGACTCCTTCAGAGGAGGTTCGTGCAGAGCTGGATGCGGATAAGACAAACGTGAAGAAGACACGGACTGGACTACGAGAAGTTCACGAGCGTCGACGTCCGGCGTATCTCGATGACTACATGGTGAACGTGACGATGAATTCCTCACGTGTACTGGATAAGAATGGAAGACCCATTCGTGCAAGTGAGATCAAAGTTCCACGTAATCGTCGTGAGATGATACGGTCGAAGTGGTGTGACTTCTTCATGATGGCCGAGATGGAAGAGCTTGCAGTTTTGAAGAAGAAAGGAGTGATTGCCGAGATTCCTGCGGATGAAATGCCGGAGGAAGCATCAGCCGTGAACACGATGTGGGTATATGACATCAAGACCGACCATCAAGGATATGTGATTCGTTTCAAGTCGCGCATAGTGGCGCTGGGTAACTATCAAAGACCCGGGATTGACTTTAAGGAGACGTTTGCACCGGTGGCGAGGATGTCGTCGTTCAGATTGCTGTTGGCATTAGCAGCGCAGCTAGGATTAATGGTGTATGCCGGAGATATTAACACCGCATACTTGAATGCCCAGTTGGAGATCCAGCAGTACTTGAGATCCATTGAAGGATACCCATGCAAGATCAACGGATATGTTTATATCGTGCTGAAGGCGCTATATGGTTTGCATCAGTCAGGTCGCGAGTGGAACTCGGAGCTAAACAACTGGTTGATGAAGCACGGATACATGCGGTCGTTGACGGAACCGTGTCTGTACTATCGTTTTGACGGAGATACGATCATGTATGTGCTAGTGTATGTTGATGACATACTGGTTGCAACGAATGACGAGCAGAGCAAGAAGGACTTGTTCGCGCAGCTGGACAAGGAGTACGGGATTAAGGATCAAGGCCTGTTGAATGAGTACCTGGGTGTGAAAGTAGAGCAAACGACTGAGAGAATCACAATTCACCAAGGGAAATATGCACGAGAGATCCTGAGCAAGTTCGGGTACCAGAATGCCCATGCGGTTGGAAATCCGATGGAAGTGAACTTGCGGTTGGCACCAATGAGCGATGAGGAGACAGGAGATACGAGTTTTCCCTATCGAGAGGCTATTGGAATTCTGATGTACTTGGCAACGAGCACCAGACCTGATTTGGCGTTCGTGGTGGGTCAACTGAGTCGGTTTGTGGGCAAACCGTCTGCGAAACATGTTGGAAGTCTGAAGAGAGTACTGCGGTACGTGGCAGGAACGCTTGACTATGGAATCACGTACACAAGAACTCAAGGTGCAACTAGGGAAGTTGTACTTGAAGGGTATTGTGACAGCGACTGGGCGAATGATCCAGAGCAGCGAAAGAGTACAACGGGCTTTGTGTTCATGTTGTCTGGAGGAGCTATTGCCTGGATGTCACGGCGGCAGTCGATTATTGCTTTATCGACGGCTGAGGCGGAGTATGTGGCGGCCTGCGAGGCTACTATGGAAGCTGTAGCAGAGGGGAACATTCTGCAGGAGATGTTACCAGATCATGAGGTGAAGTTACGAATTGGTATTGACAACCAAGCAGCTCATGTGATGGCGACTAATCCTACCTACAGCAGACGCACGCGACACATTGAACTCCGATGGCACTATGTGCGGGAACAAGTGGTGAAGGGCACCATTGATCTGCACAAGGTGAAAGGCGAGGTGAATCCTGCGGACACGTTTACCAAGCCGCTCGACAAGATTCGCTTGAAGGCGATGTTGGAGCTGGCTGGCGTGAATTAGGCCAAGTAGTCGAAGTTGCACTTCGAGGGAGGCGTGTTGGAATTCACATTGGAGACCAGGCACAACGAGACATGGACACACTGGATGAGAATCAGGTGGGCCAGGACATTCGGGATGAGAATCAGTTGGGCCAGGTCATTGTATGGGAACGGGTTGAATCCGTTAGTGTTGGTAGGAGCTCTGGAGGAGCGTGAGCTAGCACTTAAATAATTCAGTCTTCATTTACTTTCACAAGTCCAGAGTGCTGCCAAACGGAACGGAGTTCCAATATACATGGCAGAGACGCCAAACTCGTTCCCACTTCGGAATAGGTAGCGGGGGTATTCTGAGAACGCCATACAGAACGGTATAATTTAGATCGCGTTCCGAACTCTGTTTCTATTTTCAGCCAATGACCGAGCAGAATTTCTTGGAACGAATTTCAACTTAGACCAGGGCCTAACCAATAGACTTTTATCGACAATAGTAAACCCCCCAGCTGATTTTTCCCACTCTTTGGAAGCACTCGTCATCTGACCGCCGTCTTCTCTCTGTGCGTGTGTGCAGCAGCCCACACATTGCTTCCGGCCACGTCTACCATGTGCAGCACCGTCCTGCGTCATCGACGACGCAAGTTACAGTTTCTCGCGTCGTCTACAGCCCTCGCAATGCTTACAAACGTTGTGGCACTGGACGCCTCGTCCAATAGCGACATCCTCGCTCGCTGCGAGAGTCTCCAGAGTGATACAACACTGTTGACGACCCCCACAGATGTAGAACTTCCTCCGGACATCGCGACCACGCTGACTGCGCACTCTGATGCTTCCTGGGGCGAGCTAGACGACGTCACAAAGGTGGGCCTGCTGTGGATACACGGGTACGTGTTCTCGGGTGGCTCCAGCAGCGGGAGCAAGACTGGAGACGCTGTTATTCAGGTCTACACTCGCTGTTCTAGTGGGTCTACAACAGGCGTGGAGATGGCGAGCGTAGAAATCTCGTACGACGACTTTACATCGCAATGCGAAGCTGCGCGTTGTGGCACTTACTACCAGGCCACGAACGCCAATTGTGTGGCCAATGTGACGAGTTCCATTCGGTGTGCAGTTGACAGAGGCTCCTCTGTGCTGCCCACAGCCAACGACGTGTCATTCTGGTCCTCTGCAGTTTCGTCCAGTGCCGTCCCGTACCCTCAGGCTTATCAACACAAAGTCGCTTTGACTGACTCAACAGAGACGTTGCAGGTGTACTCGATCCACATGCGGAATGATGACGCTGGTGTGTCATGTGGCAACACTCTAGATACGATCATCCCGTGCTTGAGACTGGAGGATGTGACTGAGGCTTCCGACTTTTGCAAACCGGCAGTGGATGACGTTCGAGTTGCGACCTTCCTGTCATCAATTAGCACGTTACAGATCAGCAAACTGTCGGAAGATAACGAGCCATCCGATGGTGATAGCAACGTGGCTCTCATTCTCGGTGTAGGCGTCGGTGGGGCTGTCCTTCTGGTCGTGTGTCTAGCTATCTGCTGCTGTCGAAAGAGGAGGATGCAGAGTACCGAGCAGCTCTCAGAGCCTGCAGCTGTTGGAGCTGCACAAGAACAGAGTCGGGCGAGTGCAACTCGGTCCGGACTGAGCTTTATCCCTCGAGTGCTCGGTGGACGTGGGAAGAAGAGCGACAGAGACAGCGAGAGCTCGTCCAACGCTGCCACTAATGTGAACGCACAGACGAATCGACGGTCGTCCTGGTACACTGTTGGCAACGCCAGCAATCGAGAATCCACGGCGTACGGACGACGGTCCTCCATGGCTGGCACGTGGGTGGGAGCCGCAGCGGGAGGCAAAACAGTGAGCGAGTACTGCGACGAGTCGGAGGTTTTGACGGACTTCATGCAGGACCCCGAGATCTTCACGAAGCGTATCGCCTTTGACGAGCTCACGTTCCTACGCATGTTGTCGAAAGGAGCGTACGGTGAAGTGTGGCTCGGGCAGCTGGAGACTCGACACGTGGCTATCAAGCGCTTGTTGCCGGAGAAATGCCAGTTCACAGCCAATTTGGAGCAGTTCGCAGGCGAGATTCAACTCATGTGCACTCTGCAGCACCGCAACATTGTGTCGTTCGTAGGCGTGAGCTGGAATCAGCTGCAGAATCTGTGTGCCGTGGTCGAGTATATGGAGGCTGGAGACTTGGACGAAGTGCTCAAGAAGAACCGAGACAAGTTTTCCTGGCAACGCGAGAAGATCCAAATCGCCATGGACATCGCAGAAGGACTGGTCTACCTGCACTGCTTGCGTCCTGTCGTTGTCCATCGAGACCTCAAGTCCAAGAACGTTCTGCTGAATCGCAAGTATCACGCCAAGTTGAGCGACTTTGGAGTTAGTCGCAAGACTCATGTGAACGAGACGATGACGTCAGGAGTGGGGACGTTACTGTGGACTGCTCCGGAGATCATCGAAGGCAAAAAGTACTCGGAGAAGGCAGACATTTACTCGCTGGGCGTCGTGTTATCCGAGATGGATACATGCGAGGCCCCGTTCTCGGACGTGACGTCGGATAAAGGCGAGCGCTTGCCAGGAATGCAACTGGCTCAACTTGTACGACTGGGGAAGATTCGAGTGTCGCTACGCAAAGATTGCCCGCCCAATCTCCGTAATTTAGTCTTGGACTGCACTCAGCTGGACCCAGATGCACGTCCTAGCTCCATGCAAGTGGCCTTCACTCTGAAAAGTATTATCGCGCCGACGCTGCGTATGTCATCGTCGACTGCTACGACAGTTTCGACGTCGTCCTCTAGTGGCTTCCCATCCAGCGGAGGTCACAGCCACGTGCTGCAAAATCCATAGCCTTCAGTCGAAGGCAGTCGTATTTAACGCTATTGCTGCTATGCACACCAGTCGAGCATTCCAAAGAGACATGCGATGTCGTGTAGTTCGTTTCTGACTCAGAAATTCTGAGACGAAAGGAGTGCAATGTCTCCACAACCGACCGTGCTAATGCTACATCGAGTAGCACGCAGCGCACTGGGAACAAAAGTAAAAAATGCACACGGAATTCCTGAGCTCCATCTTTTCTACGGGCAGCGTTGCGGGTGCATTGGTGAGCGAATTAACCAATAGCACTTCGAGGAGATTTCAATGTTCGCTACAGTCTTTAGTCATGTTTGATAGATGAAGAATACCGGTACTGCAGTAGTACTTCGGAGTATCATTTTGTCCCAAGTTAAGGTTTGTATGACGTCCACCTGAAGCAAAAAGACCCTGAAAACTCTCGATGTTTTGTCATCGGTAAATGGCAAATACTTCAGAGCGAGATAAGCATCGGGGTGCCCTGAAGATGGTCAGTAAGTATGAAAATAGTGCAAATGGTTGTAGACAACAACGCAACCAAGTTGTCCGGGTATCCTGACACCGCAAAAATCCAGGGTCACCTCGTTCCCCGAGCACACCCAGCTCGCTCACTCCACGAGCACAGTGGCTAGAATGGGTCGGTCGCTGACAGCAGTACAGGGCTCGTCGACGAAGACATGGCTGCTCATGCTGTGAAAAAATAACTTGCTCTTCAAAGCGGCTTTATAGGGACGTGTATGATGTAGATCTTCAAGCGCCTTTCGGTTTGTCTAGAACACGTAGATCTGGTCTTCCTGGAAGCCAATGCTCTTCAGCATAACACCAACAGCCTCATCAAAAGCTGGCGGGCCGCAGTGGAAAGCTGCCACCTCGGGTGAAGCCTTTGGTAGCAACTCAGCGAGTATCGTTTTGTCCAATCGTTTGCCGGTTTTGAACGATCCTAATTCTCTGATATCATCCTCGCTGGCCTCGTGCAGCACATGAAACACCTTGACGCGGTCTGGGAACATGTTGGCGAGCGGCTCCAGCTGCGTGCGTGCGATAATATGCTTCAACGAGTGATTACAGTCCACCAGCGTGACCTTGGTCGTATCCTTATTATTCTCCATAATAGCACGGACAAGCTGCAGCATAGGAGTGATGCCTGTGCCTGCAGCAACCATCACAACGTGACGGACATTCGTCATCTTCAGCTGACCACCCACTGTCACCACCCCCGCGTCCGGATATCCCACTACCCCTTGGGGTCCCAGCATCTCCACGGTGCCTCCAATCTCTATTGTATCCAGATAACTGCTCATGAGACCGTCCGGATAGATTTTAACCACCAGGTCGAAGGACGCCGACTGCGAGAGCTTGGACGTGGGCGTGTACGCTCTCTCGATCATGTGGCCATTTATCTTGGCTCGGACTTTAAGATGTTGTCCCGCAATCTCGAGTCCCAGTAGTTTCGTACCAGGTAACTCGAAGGTGAATTTGACCGTCTGGAGACCCACTTTCTGCTTCAAAACGAGTGTGAAGCTGCTCCACCGGGTTTTATCCAGAGCGAATCTGGACGATTCGGCGCTGGAACTGGCTGCTACTGAGTCGGGGTCTAATTTACCGATGTAGCATTTTTCCAGCATGCTGTGGCCATTGACCCACGGGTGTTTCTCGTTGAAAAGGTCCGTGCAGTCTCCACCTGCAGCCAGTAGCAGGTCTGCGATGCCCCCTGGGTGGAATTTAAGGTACGGCGTCATGTTGTACACTCTCCCGTCTAGCACACTCCAGCAGTCTTCTTCAGTGCAGTGGCGGTTCACTTCTTCCATTGAGATAGCGCGACGAGGGGGTCCGCCACGGAGACTGGACAAGTCTTGACCAGATTGACACAGGCGCATCCAGTGCTGGGTAGAGATTAGAGTTAGAAGAGGAGGATGAAGAGGACAGGAGGAAGGGCGGACGCACCAATTGGCTGTAGCCTGGAGGCAGCGCCACCTTGTTGCGGCGCTGGACCATGGTCGGACACCCGCCCATCGTCGCTTTGTTTACTGTAAATTAACTCTAAGGCGAAAGTTAGCCGATGTGAGTTCTGCGTTATGATTGGATAACGGTGCTTTATTTTAGCCAGTAAATGTAGGCATGTTGATAGGCAAAAACTGTTCTTTGCTGGAGACAGAACGGTATTTTTTGTGAGAGTACAGGTTGATCAGTTTTTCTTGTACCGGTAGAGAAGTTAGTTTTCGTTAACAAAGTAAATACCGGAACCCTCAAACTTTCATAAAAGTGCTAGATTTGCAGAAATACCATCCAACAAAAATATCCAATAGATTTATTTGTCATCAAGCCATTCGAATTGAAGACTAAAGTCAGCACCTAAATATCGAATAATTTAAGAAATTGCGGCTTGTAAATCTCATGATTGTTCAAACCCCGAGCAACGCAAAAGAACGTACCGAGATGTTGCAATTGGAATGGTATCAGAAGAAGAATTCCAGCAAATAGCTTCGCCTGTACGAGGTAGACCTGGTGTTCCAATACGAACGCGAGCTGGTGCATGGCCGAAAAAAAAAACTTTCGCTGCAGGAAATGATGGAGGAAGACCAGAGAGGCGACTTCCAGCATTGCCAACGCAATAATATTCATTGCAGCTGCTATACTCCAAGTACCGGCGCCACCAGGATAATAGACAATATTCGGCAATTGCTCCAGGATGAATTTGTACACCACGTAAATTATCGGGGTGATGCATTCAACGTATTCAACCAATTCCAGATATTCACAGTGAAAGAACAGCTGTAAGCCCTCCAATACCAACTCGTTTGTGGTCTCCGACAGTAATCCGGCGCTGTTGGCAGAGGGTATTTGTTCACTAAGCTTAGGTGACTCACCTGCGTGTTGAATTGTCGAAGAGGATTTTACGTGAATGAAACTGGGGCTCGGTACAATAGTCGCGCTCTGGTTTAACACATTCTGGTATCGATATTGTGGATATCGCTTCGTCCCGTCGCCAGACGATTGGTTGTCATGGCCGTTTGTGTCGGAGGATTCCAGCTTACGGAGTTGTTGAGCTTGTACTATCGTTAGAGACTGGGGCAAACAGGCCCGCAGACGCACAGAGTTTAACGTGTTGGGATGAGACGCGCCAGGCTCTGTAATCGCTTCGAGAATTGTCGACAGCAACTTTGTGTCACCTGTTGTGCCACGACGTTGGTGAATAGAATTACCCGATTGCTGTTCGAGAAGCTGTAGTATTACCCTGGCATTATTACTTACTTCACGTAACTCCAATAGTATTTGCCCTGTATCAGTTGCGATAAGCAGGATGGACAGGTAGAACGGCCCCAAGGATGACATACACACTGATACGAAGAGGGAGCTGAAGAAATCAACCAGAAATGCCACCGATTCAGGTATGATATCTTCCAAGTCAGGAGAAGCGTAGACGATTAAGTGCTTTGCTGCAAATCTCCAGATGGGTAAGACGAGAATCACTCCGCCTCGATACTCTACAGGAACGATCGTACAGAACTTTGAACAGAGGAAACACCCCGAAGATTGTAACCAACGCAAGATAAAAACGATTGAATCTTTTCATGCGGATCATAACTGGGGATCCACTGACAAACGCATCAGATCCAACGACAAGTCGCAGCATTAATACTGTGAAAATGCCGGTCGGAATGGCTCCAAGTTGCATCATAAGCGGCACAGGAAGTCCAACAAATTCTGCTGCAAACATGAGCGTACCGACCTGTCCAACAACCGTCGCCGTAGCAGCAATAAATTGCCTACAGAGCGTGAAGTTCAGCTCCGGAACGAATACAGCCATTTGTGCGTTTCCACTGACGCCAAGCACCACCAGTGTTAGCAGCACGCGGACCCAAAATACCCAGTTTTCTGTCCAACCTTCGGACGGTGGTCGCAACGGAAGACATTCAAGCAGTATAGCAACTAGTAGAGAAGGGAACGGCGTGAGTAGGCAGACCACTCGTTTTGCAGTATTTCTCCAGACTCATGAGACGCTCAACAGAGTACGAACCCTGGCGACCAACCTGGCCTCGATTCCATTTTTTCTTCTAGATGTCGCCATGAAGTCAGACGAGAAGCAGTCCGAGCGCTGATGACGTCTACTGTATCAGATGTGGGATTAACTGCAGTACTTTTTCGTCTGAACTGAAAGCTTCGCATCGCGAAGTACTTGAAGACGCGTTGGTCGATCCGCCACCCAGACAGCATAGCCGAAGCTGAGAGTATTAATACCAGCCTTTTTTGTTTTTAGAAGTGATCGATGAAAAGTTAAGCTTGGCGTGAATTCTTTTTTTGGTGCGAATTTCCTGTAACAACAGACAAACTAACCCCAGCGAGCAGGCTAAGAAATTGTGGCGAATACTTTTAAAATAAGCTAGGGCTTTGTGTGGGCTTCGATGTACATCCCTAGCAGCAACAAAACTACTGTACCTGTATGAAGCCCACTACATTCATCTGTATCGTGCAAACAACCTGACATGCATACTGTACATCACCCCTCCAATACGATTCAAGCATTTCTTGGTGAATTTTGCTCCCGCCCACGCTATTTCCGAACTACTCCGTTCACCAAAATTAGTCGGAGTATGACTTTTTAACGTGAACGGTGTACTGATTTCTGAGTTTATTTAGTACGAGTTCGAGTTGGTTAAAAATCGGACAACATTTGGCCTATACCGTAGCGTCGTAGTCATAAGCGTCGTTTACTTCTAAGGGTCAGACTACCAAAATCCAATCAGAAAGCGGTATTTCTGTCAGGTGGTTTTGTTACTTACATTTGGGGTGACAGTTAATTTTAGAGTCAGTTAGGATAAAACAACGCTTCATTGTCAGAAAAACACCAGCCAACAGAGCCATGGGCCGCCCTCGTATAAATGGGCAAGGCAAGAAGCGAAAGTCGTATCAACGCACAGCGGTGGAGTATTCACACAAGAGGGATGTTCTAAATTACAATGAAGAAGGTCACAGTCTTGATGAAACGATTGCACACTTCTACGGTGAGCTGACCGATGCTGCAGTACGAGCTAAAAAGAAGCAGATCAACAAGTGGGCCAAACAGTCCGCTGATATCCGTGCTGCGTGTGAGTCGGGACGCGGCAGGCACCAAAATTTACGTAGTCTTGGTGATGCAACTGTGCTCTCCAAGGCGGCCGAAGCGTCGATCGTCCTTTGTAGGGCTCAGCTCCTTACGCAAGGATGGCGCACCTGTGTCGCGACTCATGTGGCAGCTAGAGGCAAAAAAGACGGCTTCTGACATTGGGCTTGGGGACAAATTTGCTGTCTCACCGACGTGGATAAAGCTTTTTCTAAAACGGCACAAACTGTCTCTTCGTGCACGTACGAGGCAGGGGCAAACGACACCAGAGGACGCTCTAGAAGCGGCTAGATCGTTCCGGGCATTGGTGCTGCAGACAATAACCGACAGGCAGTGTGTACAAGTATACAACGCAGATCAAACGGGTACGGTACATTTTTTTTAAATGTTACTATTATTTTGTTTTGCTGAGGAACATGCACTGTAGCCGTGAATTATGAGTACTTGCCAAAACCGACTATAGACCAGCGTGGTGCTAAGACGGTATGGGTGATGTGTGGTAATAAGGAGAAGGCTCGAGCTACGGTCATGCTCTTAGCAGACTGGGAAGGTAATAAGTTGGATACTTTTCTAGTATTTAAATGCCTACCTTCAACAATAACGACCAAACGCGTCGAGAATGACGCTTTGCGCCATGGATTTTGTCCAACAATGTGGAATCGCGAATTTAGTCCATTACAAAAACGACTTAGCTGCCGAATTTACGGAAACAAATGCGCGTGGTGGAATTCAGAGTTGTCTGTCAGATTTCTACAATTTCATTTTGCTGAGCGAGCGAATCTGGATGAAAACATTTTAATAATCTGGGATGACTTTAGCGGGCACTGGACCGATGAAGTCGAGGAATACGCGGCATCGATTAACGTTGTCCTTTTCAAAGTCCCACCGAGATACACTTATGTCTGCCAACCGGCAGACATATCATGGAATAAGCCTTTTAAAGCTAGGCTACGCACATTGTGGGTTTGCCGTTTACGAAACCAGCTTGTAAAGTATCGCGCTGCAGAAGAACGACGCCAGCACAAGCGAGAAGAGCTTCATTCGTTGATTGCACGAGCTCGCAAAGATTTGACCCAAGAACGGGCCGATGACGAAGTCAAACGACTTCAAGATTTGCACACAGAAGATTCGCTCAAATTAGAGCCACCTAATCGAGCTGACATCACTGAGTGGGTTTCGACGTGTTGGACAGATCTTTCAAAGGAGACAATTGTAAGCGGGTTTGATAAGATTGGCATCATTAGCGACACGCGCACAGTAGCGGATCTGACGGATATCGAGATTGCATACATTGACAGTGGTATTGTCGAAGAGCTGGAGAATTGCAACCTTGCCGACGGCCATGTCGATTCGGACGATGACATCGAATCTGACGATGATCTAAACAGCAATGTCGAATAATTACATTGCACGTATTTCCTTCCCAACGTTTCGTAAAACCATGATTTGCTCACATCTGTCTGTGCATGCGATGTGAAAATCTTGCTATTGAAGTGACGCCTAGGACTACGACGATACGGTACATGCTACAGTAATGTGCGCGGATAGTTCATTTTCAGCTCAGGAATGTGTTGACCTCGGACACGATCACCTTACAATTTACTTCATTGCTGTCCAGCCATCTAAATTGAAGACTAAAGTCGGCGCCTAACAAAATGCAAAGAAAACAATATTACATACGGAGCAGAGCCTAAATTCTGCACCAAAACTCAAAATGTTCGTACCTAAATGTTCTAGTTCAAACGGAATGAGCACTAGGATTCCAATAAGAAGCTTCACTTGGACCAGATACGCATGCGTTTCCAATACGAACGCAAGCTGGTGCATTGCCGAAATAGCAAACTTGCGCTGCAGAAAATGGTGGAGGAAAATGAGAGAGCAAATCTCCATGATGGCCAACACTAGAATATTCGCCACAGTAACTACGCTCCAACTACCCGCACCACCAGGATAGTAAACCACATTCGGCAATTGCTCCAGGACCGATTTGTAAGCTACATAGACGATTGGGATGATACATTCGACGTACTCAACCAGTTCGAGGTATTCGCAGTGAAAGAGCAGTTGCAGACTCTGTCGGAGCAGCTGTTTCGACTTCTTCGTCCCCGTTCGAAAACGCGTTGAATGTTTGCTCTTTGTATCACTTAACTGCCGCGTTGTGGAGGAGGATATTCCTTGTTTGGATTTTGGAGCCGGTGCTACAGAAGTACTCTATTTAAATACATTTTGGGCTGGAGTATTTGGCTCCAGGGGGGATCGTTTAATACGGTTGCTTAAAGATAAATCCTGCTGACAGAACACGCCCAATGCCTCCATGTTGATAAGCTGTTCAAATTGGGCTCTAGTAAGAACATGAGGGAGACACCCCAACGGACGCACAGATGCCAATGGTTGAGCTTTAAACGCGTCAGATTCTTCAATCGCTTCGAGAACT